CTTGGCAACACTCTATAGGAACACTATGAGTCCAAACCCACTCCAAGGTGTTTAGCAACAACAACAGCATAGAAAACTTACTCCAAACTAAGAACTGTACTGTTGTCGTTGTTAAGTGTCCTCGATTTGGTTCTGACTCATAGTGGCCCTGCATAGATTTTCCAAGACTTTAAATCTTCCTGGGAGCAGAAAGCCTCATCTTTCTCCAGCACAGCAGTTGGTGGGCTTGAACTGTAGACCTTGTGGTTTGCTGTCCAGTGTCTACAGCATGGAGTCACCACATTTCCAGGAGCTGTACTAGGTACATTAAATGATTTAATCTGAAAAAAAACCTCACAAGCCACCACAGTCTGACAAACTGACAGAGTGCTGGGTAGTAATGATTCTGGAGCATAAAAGGATTCAGAAATGTGCAGTGTCAGGCAGCTGTAAAGTGGCAGAGTCTGACAGTTAACAACTGCAGACATTAAAAAATGCTTTAATCATTCAGGAAACTGCTAAGAATATATGTGAATTAAAAGAAGAATAAAAGACCTTAAACATACTGAATGCTGAACTTGTACATATATTTAGGTTCTAAAAAGTCATATTAATTGCCATGTGTGTACAAAAGAAAAAAGCCTAGAAGCCATGAATGTCAGCGCACCAGCTGCTGGTTTGTTGGTCTTGCTGATGTGCCCATGGATGTTTTCATTTCCATCTTTGCCCTGTGCAGTGTAGTTAATTACAGAATATGCCCTGCTCACCCTAGTCCTCCATTCTGTGATGTATTGTGAATTCTAGCTGCTATGACTGTGGTTAGGAGCCCGGTGGCAGTATAGGATAAGTCACAAGCTCAATAGTTCAAACCCACCAACCACTGTAAGAGAGAATTATGAGGCTTTCTGCTCTCCTTAGAAACCCTATACAGGGCTGCTATGAGTCAGAACTGACTCAACCACACTTGATGACAACAAGAAGAAGCTGTCATCAAGATTTAGTCTCAGAAACGCTATGCGGTGTCACTCAGTTGTAATCAACTTGATGACAATGAGTTTGGTATGACTTTTTTAAGCTGACTGTGGTCATGGTCCTGATTTCCCCATCTATAAAGTTAGTTGCCTGTTATGTTAATGAGACTAGATAAAGGTGGACTAAAGATTAAATTAGAACTAGGATGCTGATGTGTCTGTAGGATCAGTATTGGACTGCTAACAAGGTTGGCAGTTCAAACCTGTCAACTGCCCCTGGGGAACAAAGATGAGACTATCTGCTTCTGTAAAGACTTATGGAGTCTTGGTTTGGCTTTGTGGGATAAAACACTGTAACATAAGGATGGTTTGAACCATAAGGTCAATGGTTGAAACTTACCAGCCACTCCTTGGAAACCATGTTCAGGGTCATTATGAGTCAGAACCAATTTGATGGCACTTAACAACACCAAGGATCTTGGTGTGACACTGTAGGATAAATTGTTGTTGTTGTTGTTAAGTACCGTGGAGTTGGTTCTAACTCATAGTGACCCTGCACAGTGTTTCCAAGGCTGTAAATCTTTCTGGGAGCAGAATGCCTCATCTTTCTCCTGGGGAACCACGGGTAGTTTTTGAACTGCTGACCTTGAGGTTGGCAGCCAAACTCATAACCACTGTGCTGCCAGAGTACTTGGGTATAAAACACTTGAATCATAAAGTCAATGGTTCAAACTCACCAGCTGCTGCTCCGAAACCCTATACAGGGTAGAAACTGACTCAAAGGCATTGAACAAAAAAAAAAAAAAAAAACAGGATTTAGGTGGAATGTATCTTGAGTTCCCACCTTACTAGAGGGTGTGATTCAACTCACCACCCTTAGTTTTCTTGGGGGGCTGGTCTACATTCAACACTTTGAGGAGGCAACTCTTTCTCAATTGCATTTTGAGTGCTTTCCAACCTGAGGGGCTCATTTTCCAGCACTATATCTGACAGTGTTGCTCTGCTATTCATAAAGTTTTGGTGACTAAATATTTAGAAGTAGTTCATCACTCCTTCTTCCTAGTCTGTCTTTGTCTAGAACCTCATCCTAAACCTGTCCACCACTGATGACTTTGCTTGTGTTTAAAACACCCATGGCATAGCTTCCAGAATCACAGCAACTCACAAGCCACCACAGTACGACAAACTGACAGACAAGTGGTTGAATACTGTGAAAGAGCTATTATTATTATCATTTCAATGTTATAGATAATTTCTACCTACAAATTTGGAGATAGGCTCAGGGACACCGTGGTCATTCCCATAACATATTCCACAAAGATAATGCTCTACAACATACTTTGGTGATGCACAACTGGGATCTTATGAGCTCATGAGTGGACATTTAGGGTACAACTGAAGAGTGATGAAGATTGAAATCTATGGAAAAATTAGTCCAATGGACTAATGGACCCGGAGAACATCAGTCTCCCTGACCCTGAAACCAGAAGAACTAGATGGTGCCTGGCTGCCATTAGTAACTGTTCTCAAAGGGATCATAAGACCAGGTTTGCTGGTAGGATAAAGACTGGGGGAACCTCCAAGACTGTGGCCTTAAGTTTACCTTCAGGTCTGGAAATGAACTCACCTCTATGGATCAATTCTTTTAGGCCAACAGTAGCCTTAGGGGAATATGCAAACCTAGAAAAATCGAAGATTTGAGAACAAAAGGTCAGCATTTACCCAAGGACAATGTTCACAGTGGTTAGGAAGTAAGGAGTAATGGACACAGGAAGTTCATATACTAAGAGGATTGCAATCAGTGGGATAAAACTAAAGTCAATGTGGAACTGATGCTCTTCTCTATAATCTTAGAACTGATTCACAACAAAAAGTTTCAGAAGAAAAATTTGAGGGCTGGGATTTGAATCCAGATCTGTCTAATTATAAAATCTGTGCTCCAATCTAAAAATAAAACACATGTAGCTGTGAACCTCAAGATCAGAAATTCGAAACTACCAGCCACTCAAATGGAGAAAGATGAGGCTTTCTGCTCCTGTAAAGATTTACAGCCTTGGAAACCCTGTACAGGGTCGCTATGGGTCGGGACTGACTCGACAGCACTCAACAACAACAACAACTTTTTAAAGGAAACTTTTTAGAAAGGATATAAGTATTTTAGCCATTTATTTTGTGGTTAGGATTTTAACTGCAGCACTTTGGATCCATTTCCCAGGACCCTCTGAAGTTATTTAAATTGATGTCTGGAGGGAAACATTTGGCAGAAGGATGGCTGATTTCTAACAACAAGAGAATGTTATCACCCAATGACTTTTCTGGCTTTTGGGATCTAAGCAATGTTGTGTAAGACATTAGAAGACATTAACAACAACAACAACAAAAAAAACAATAAAAGACATTAACAAAAAATGTATCCGAAGGAACCAGCATGAAGGCAGCTCTCCCCACTTCAGACCAAGCAAGAAGGTCGTGGGAGCATTTGAACTGCATCCTGATGGTTTGTCACCAAGGATAGTGATGTCTTTCGTGTGTGAAGGGCTAAAGGAGGCTTCAGGTCACAGCAGGCTGGGTAAGATGAACTGACCTTCCTACTAAAGTCAAGTAAACAATCTGTGAGTGTGTCTGCAAACTTGATTAACTCTTTAAAAAAAAAAAAATTGGAAAATATATGTGGAGTCCTAGTGTGGTGCTGTAAGATAAGCACTGGACTGCTAACCTAAAGGTCTCCGGGTAAAACCCACTAGCTGTTCCTTGGCAACACTCTATAGGAACACTATGAGTCCAAACCCACTCCAAAGTGTTTAGCAACAACAACAGCATAGCAAACTTACTCCAAACTAAGAACTGTACTGTTGTCGTTGTTAAGTGTCCTCGATTTGGTTCTGACTCATAGTGGCCCTGCATAGATTTTCCAAGACTTTAAATCTTCCTGGGAGCAGAAAGCCTCATCTTTCTCCAGCACAGCAGTTGGTGGGCTTGAACTGTAGACCTTGTGGTTTGCTGTCCAGTGTCTACAGCATGGAGTCACCACATTTCCAGGAGCTGTACTAGGTACATTAAATGATTTAATCTGAAAAAGAACCTCACAAGCCACCACAGTCTGACAACCATAAGGTCAATGGTTGAAACTTACCAGCCACTCCTTGGAAACCATGTGCAGGGTCATTATGAGTCAGAACCAACTTGATGGCACTTAACAGCATGGAGGATCTTGGTGTGGCACTGTAGGATAAGTTGTTGTTGTTGTTAAGTACCATGGAGTCGTTTCCAACTCATAGTGAATCTGCACAGGGTCTCCGAGGCTGTAAATCTTTATGGGAGCAGAATGCCTCATCTTTCTCCTGAGGAACCACTGGTAATTTTGAACTGCTGACCTTGAGGTTGGCAGCCCAACTCATAACCACTATGCTACCAGAGTACTTGGGTATAAAACACTTGAATCATAAAGTCAATGGTTCAAACTCACCAGCTGCTGCTCCGAAACCCTATACAGGGTAGAAACCGACTCAAAGGCATTGAACAACAACAAAAAAAAACAGGATTTAGGTGGAATGTATCTTGAGTTCCCACCTTACTAGAGGGTGTGATTCAACTCACCACCCTTAGTTTTCTTGGGGGGCTGGTCTACATTCAACACAGAAGAATTCTTTGGCAAAATTCTTTCTCTTGCTCTGGAACCTGCATCTGGTTCATCTCCATATAACCTCCATCTCTTGGGACTGCCAACCTGTTGTCTAGCCTGATCTACCAGCTTCCACAGTCTTTTGTATCAACAGCCTGTCATCTGACTTACAGATTTGGGTTCCTCTGCTCCTGCAACCACGTGGATGAATACAATCCTCCAGACTTCGGTCTAAACTACAGATTTGGCACTTGCCAGCTTCTACAACCATGTGAGGCATTGTCTTCACAGTTTCAAGTTCTCAAAGATAATGTAGTGAACTGTGGAATCCTGGGACAAGAGGGAGAATACTACGGGGAGAGGTGGTTGCTATCAGGTATTATGGAGTGGTAAGGCATCTAGGAAAAATTAGACATTTGTGATTATAGGGACCAACCTCGTGTAGCTCCTTCTAAATGATTTTCAAATGCAGTTTCTCTGAATTCCTTCAGTGAGCCTCTATACCAGCGTGTCTACTCATCAGTGTGTGGATTTCCACTGAGTCATTTGACTCCTCTATTCATGATTTCCATCCTCTAGAAATTAAAAATGACAAACACCAATATATCACAGTTGTGAAGATCAAATAGATAAAAGCATTTAGAGAGTCTAACACACAGACAATGCTCACTAATGTTATCTGCTATAAATATAAATATTATTTATTTTTTAAAAGTATGGATATTGAAAAATATTACATTGAGAGGAAAAATTACAAAACAGGTTACTCTTGAGTCATCTCCAACTCATGGTGATGCCACGTGTGTCAGAGTACAACGTGCTCCATAGAGTTTACCATGACTGCTTTTTCAGAAGTAGACCACCATTCTGTTCTTCTGAGGGGCCTCTGGGTGAACTCTAAGCTCCACCCCTCTGTTCAGCAGCACTGTAAATTAACCATTTGCATCACCCAGGTATTCCCTGTTGAGAAAAGTGTTCATAAGATTGCTCCTAGACAAGGAGAAACCATTACCATTTTCACAGAAGAAATGAAGCAAACTCTAGGGGACACTCACTTTTGTACCAAGCAGTCCTATTAAGAGCACCAGACCTATCTCAAAATCTGCAGGGTAAGCATGAGGCCCTCAGGATCAGCAATCCTAGAACTGCTGCAAGTGCAGCCAGCGCTAAAGGATACAAGCCACCACTTCCTCCCCTCCCCTCAACTCAGACCACACCCTCTGTCAGGATCTGAGGGGTCCAGACCACAGGACTCTGCTTTGGGGCCTTCATCTTGAGGACACAGCCTGGCAGACAGGATGTCCCTGCTGGGAACACTGACCTTCTTTTGCCTCTGGACTGGTGAGTCCCTCCTTGACCATTCCGGTCTAGATGAGTGACCAAAGAAAGCCTTTAATGCTCCCTCTGGTATTCTCAGAAGCTCACTGGAAATCTTTTTCTTTTGTTTGCAGCTGGACTTGGCTTATCAAAAGTGGAGCAGTCCCAGATATCCATTTCCACAGCAATAAAGAAAAGCGTTGACATGAATTGCAGAATAACAAGTACAGGATTTGAAAATGAAGTTGTTCACTGGTACCGGATGAAAGAGAATCAGGCAATGGAGCATCTGATACATGTCACCTCAACAAAAGTCCCAGCTCGAAAGCACTTGGGGGGGAAGGACAATAAAGTTGAGACCAGAAAAGTTTCTCACTCTTCCACTTCAATCTTTACCATAAATTTTATAGAAAAAGAAGATGAGGCCATTTACTACTGTGCAGGATGGGACCCACAATATTAGAAGTGCCACAGCCTCCCGTACAAGATCTTCTCCTCAGGTTGCCTACTCATATCCTTCCCAACAGTGACAACCACAGCCAGCCCCCAGCTGGGTTCCCAGGCTCAGCCTCAGCTTCTCTGCCCCTCTTCCTGAGTGCTCAGGATGCCATCTTGGGTTATGCTCATCCACTAACCTTCAACTGACATCAGAAATTGTGCTTTAACACCTTTACTTAAGGCCATTGCCCGATAAATCACGGTGCTGTCCAGGGAAAAGATGTCTCACTGATTATCATATTACCATCCAGAGACTTTCAACAAGTGGATAATGTTCAAGCTGAGGGAGAGAATCATTGCTGGGAATGCTAGATATAGTTTCCAGAAATGATCCTATATAATCAAGACTAATGCTGCCCCATAAGATATACATATATATATTTCTTAGAGTATTTCAGTTTGATATTTGGTCAACGATAATAAATTCATGATATTTTGACTAACCAGTAAGTCCATCCTGAAAAGTTCAAGGATCGTTCAAGGATCAGCAGAAAAGGAATCAAATTATATAACATCTGGCATCTCTCAAACAAAAACCCACCTCTAGTTCCCTTGGTGTTTCTCTGCTATTCATAGTGCAGCCAGAGTGCTCCTTAGAGGCCAAGATGGCCAAACTTCGTCTCTCATACTTTGGACATATTGTTAGGAGGGAACAGTCGCTGGAGAAGGATATCGTGCTTGGTAAAATGGAGGGTCAGAGAAAAAGAGGAAGACCCCCCAACGAGATGGATTGGCCAGGTGGCTGCATTGATGAACTCAAGTGTGGCAGCAGTAGTGAGGTTGGCCCAGGATCGGACATTGTTTCATTCTGCAGTGCATGGGGTTGCTATGAGTTGGTTCTGACTCGATGGCACCTAAAAACAACAACAACAGTTCCCTTGGTGTTGGTTGGTGGCTATGTGCTGTGGAGTCAGTTCTGACTCATAGCAACCCTTACAGGGTTTCTGAGGCTGTAAATCTTTATGGGAGCAGAAAGCCTCATCTTTCTAGTTCCCTTAGGTAAGACAAAGAACACATTTGTAGGGAAAAAAAATGATACTCAAACGTTTCCTTCCATCTTTTCCATAAGCTTCAGAAAGAAGATGAGGCCATTTAATACTGGGCTGCCTGGAACCCACAGTTTAGAGGTGCCAGAATGTCTTCACACAACTTCTCTTGGGTCTCTACCCACCCACATCCTTCCTAACAGTAGAAGACTCAACTGACTCCCAGCTGGGCTCCCAGTCTTACCTCACCTTCTCAGCTTCCCAGAAGCCATCTGGGTTACGTTCACACAGTCAGCCCCACTTTAAGCAGGAATGACCATGACCATCCCAGATGTTCACGTAACATGAATTCTTAAGATTGTAAGGACCTGTCTGGGCTCTAGTGGATAGGGTCAGGTTCCATATGTCCTCCTAGCACCATCACAGACATCCCAATAACTCAGCTGAGGGAGGGAGTGACTGGGCACCAAGGACCCAAGATATATGATATATTGATTTTTACATATAATCTTCACAACACCTATGTATATAAATTTTATTTGCCAATTATACAGATAAAAAAAATTAAAGCTTCTATAAAGAAGTCCATGCTTTTATATATATATATTATTGTGGTAAAATATATATAACACAAACTTTTCCATGTTTAAGTAGACTCCTGGTGAGGCACTGTAGGATCAGTACGGGACTGCAAAACACAAGATTGGAAGTTCAAACCCACCTCAGAAATCCTACTTAGGGTCACTATATGTTGGAACCGACTCAACGGCACTTCACAACAACAACAACAAAATAATCGTGATAAAGAGCCCTGGTAACATAGTGGGTTACAAGCTGGGCTGCTAACCACAAGTTCAGTAGCTACCATCGACTAGTGTGTTCCGTGGCAGAAAGATGAGGCTTTCTGCTTCTGTGAAGATTTACAGCCTCAGAAACCCTGTCCAGGGTCGCTATGAATTGGAACTGACATGGTGGCACACAACCACCACCAACAATCTGTCCTATTAATTACATTCATCGTGCTGTGCTACCATCACCACCACCACCAACCATCACCAATATTCATTTCCCAACAAAACAGAAACTCAGTACTCTTTTAGATAATTTATTGCAATGGTTACACAGACTCAGACACCATACTAACAGTCATAAGGTTTATTTTGGCAGTTGTTGTTGTTGTTGCTAAGTGCCGTGAAGTCGGTACAGACTCATAGCAACTCTGTATAGGGCTTTCAAGGAGTGGCTGGTAAGTTTGAACCACCACCTTGTGGTTCAAACTGACCTGTGGTCCACTGCTTTATCCCACAGCAACACACCAAGACTCCATTTAACTGGTTACAATTCAGGGTCAGAAGTGTTCAGGACACAGTTCTTCCATTTGTTGTCTTTCTTCTGCTGTGCCCACACACAGATCTCTTTTTGGCCCCCTCTGTCCTTTGGGCTGGCCTCTGCCATTCTCTGACACTGTTTCAAAGTTCTGTTACAACTGCTGATAAATGTTCATAGGGCACATCACTCTACCACAAGCCTCAATGAAAGACGGTAGGCTCTAGTTCTGTGGGTCAGCAAGCCTAGCTGCCCCAATTAAGTGCCTGAGAAACCCTATATGCAAGCAAAATTCCTACTCAAAATTTCTTTCTTACCTCTTGGCTTGAAGAGAGACTGATGAAATCATGTACTGTTGTAAGGAAATCACTTTACATATCAATTGCTCATTGCAATTTCTTGTCTTTGCTTTCAGTTGCATTGGGCAATTGTAGGTGGAACAACCTGGAATATAAGTTTTCAAAGCCACATCTCCAAGTGTTAATTTAAAGATGCCCAGTTTTGACTTTGAAAATCATGATATACAATTGCATTGGGAAAAAGACAAATCAAATTATAGCATATCTGACATGTTGTTGTTAGGTG